GAGAGTCGACTGTAATTCGGTAAATTTTTTTTAAGGTGGTCATTGCTTGTCAGTACATGATAATACTTACGAAGCATATTATTTATGCTTGGGAAAGCACTTAAAAGAGCACTGACATCAAATCTACTCATGTCAAGATTTTTGCATAGACGAGTAGTTATTGACTGCCTAGTAGCGATTCGCGAATCGAGACGCATCTGAAGGATGAATAAATATTTGTTTTATTGATTTATATCATCAGTATCTAGCACGACTCAAAACGTCTGGCAAGCCCGCCAATTTTAGCGCTGGCAGCGCTTTCTTGCGGTCACCTCCAGATTGTGCCCCAGCTGACCACCACTCAAGTACAGAAAGGAGTGCCCCGATACTCAGCTGCTTCGCTAACATTTCGTCTGCTAGGCACATGGGTTCCATATAGCCTTGTCACCTGCTTTGCTGTCGTCGCCATAAAAAATGTCTGCTACTGTTGAATACAACGGTCAGAAGCATGGAATCGCCGCGGTTCACGAGACCGCGAATAATTTTCACTTCAATCGACCCTTGACAGAACAGCGATTCCAAAACTGATGCGATTCCAAGCAGCAACGAGGAGGTGCCCAGGGACACATGCTTCGACATTGCTGGCTCATTTGTCTCAATTAGCTAGATTGGGGAGTTTTGGCGTGCACAACATTCTGGTATACGCAAAGGAGTCTATGAAAAAATTGCCCCGTATCTACATGCTTCACTGCAAATGTTGTCGAAAAATGAAAGCCTTGCATATGAAGAGAGTGAACAAAATGTTCATTTGATCAGTGAATTGTATTCTGTACGCGCTGCGTTACAGTGTTTTGAATCGTGCAGGGAAGGCGAACGAGGGCATTGAGGCACGTTAGACACAAGCGCTATGTGGCAGTTATCTTCGAAAACGAAGGAAGGCATGCGCGCCTGTGTCAGAGGTAATAAGGTGTAGAACACAAAGCGATGGGCACATGCTACCACCGTATCGCCTTAGTGAAGCGTTGAAAACACTTGCCTTTTTGGGCATAGCGTTCCACTGTCAGCATAGCGTGATAGATGATACGGCCCTTAGAATTATGTATGCCTTTCTTAGTATAAAGACACACATACAGAATATTGTTGCGTGAAGGCACATGGGAAACTCCCGTGTGCCTTCACAGGCAACAATATGAATGGGGATTAGGGTGACATCGGTCATGTTGTGGTGCAAGTGTGGTGAACAGGCAGATGGAAAAATGAAGTCAAGCAGCACGACATTTATACTTGGAGGACACAGTCACACACATACACGAATGGACTGCTCGGCTTCAGTGAAACATATGAGAGTCAATTCTTTCAGCTTTAAAGCGAGTTGCCCTTGCAGTGCAGCTTATTTGTAAGACAGATGCAAATTGCACCCTTCAGAGCTTGAACAATGAATCTCATGATAGCATATTCACTTGGATTTAAATCTAAAAAGTTATGTCCAGGATTGCCACGTTTACTAACACGATCGCGTTGCTTTCTTCAGAATGCCACCTAGATTCACAGAAAGTAGACGACCTTTTCCCTTTGAATAACCGCGTATCGTGTTTTTAAATGACGTTATCGGTGCAACAGAACAGAACATGTCTTCGTGTACAGCATAACTCACCAATTTAAAGGACACCGCGAACCCCGATTGGGCACCGAGCCTACTGCTGGGCCACGGCTGTTATGACCCGACGAACATGCTGAATGCAGTTGCAGCAGGCATGCCGTCCGCGGAGTTGGGAACATCGCTCGAACTGCCAGACATAGACGCAGAACCAGAGCCTAATGAACCATCAGCAGTAGATCCCACGAAACCGTGGCTCACGAGAGGAAAATAAACCAAGCATTGTGACACTACTGATATGAGCAAAAACTGCAATGGCATAGGCAGGAGTGTGCAAAAGGAGAATTAGCACCTCCCCCAAACAACAACAAAATTTCCCCCACCACGATGCCTCACAAGTTTGCACACCTCACAACAGAATCCTGTTGAAGCTCATGCGTCTTGAAAAAGACGAAGTTTTACCTCGAACGTAACCTGAAATAGCGTCGTAATTATCCTTGCTTAGAACGACGACGTACACAACGTGATGAAGGCTGCTTTGTTGCTATGCTCTTCAGTCTTCACCCATCCGCACGTGAAGTAGCTGTGGCCATCCAGAGACTTTTAGGCCATCATTTGTTGCAGCATGACATGACTTGTCGAAACTACCAATAGTTTACGATGTCGCCGTGTGTCACGGAAAGCAGCAGATCGACATTTGGTGTAGCCTCCTTACGGATGCGCAGTTCGTACGGGTCGATGCCATCACACAATTCAAATTTCGCTCGGTTACCTACACTAGTTGTTTACCTACACAAGCTCTTCGAAGTACAACAGGCAAAGCGCGTGCACACTTTTATTCACCGTATTACAGTGGCTAATAGCCACATCTCCCAAATGACTCCAACAAGCTCCCATGCGGCGGTAAGCTGCATGCGCAGCCTGACTCAATGTTGACAAACATGACGGTTGCTAGTGTTGTCAGTTAGAAACAACGTCATGTGCAACCCATGTATATGAGGCGATCACACAAAACGATTGCTTTGCTCACATGTGTGAGTACTCATAACATCAACATATGGGATGACCATTGCGAAAACTCACGCACAGCATTTTTTTTTTTTCAAGATTCCAATCCTTTTTTTTCTAATCTTAAAACCCAGTGAGCACTCGTTGAAGAAAGGTTCATCGGAGGGACATGCTTGAGCCCATCTACGTTTTCTGTGAACGCCTCATTTTCTACGTGTCTATGGCGGCTAATGCTGGTGACATCGAGAGGGTAAATGAGTTATGTCGCGCTTTGGTCAGTGAAGGCAAGGTGCCTATAAAATGATATATAACATGATCTGCATAAGCAAACAGATTATTTGCTAATGTTTAGCTTGTTAGAGGTAAATGATGCATATCTTGTCTACATAGCGCATTCCAAGCTTTATTCCAGCTACATCTATTCTATATCAGTCACTGCCCACTAAATCAATTGATTGATTTGTGGGGTTTAACGTCCCAACCGCCCACTAAAACAAGCGAATGACATCACATCAATGACTTTCAAGGACACAATGATCATACACCACATGTGTGTTACCACTATGCAAGTGTAATTATTATGCTAGCAAACACACTTTTTTTTTAGAATACGACGTACTGAAAATCATGTTTTCAAACTTCACAAGGCCTTGGGACTTGTGACGTTTGTTTTGCTACGTGCAGCTGGGAATGCTAAAACTCATGCAGCCATTCACACTTTTCCTGCAGTTGGGGAAATATGGCTCGCTAACTGATGGCTTACAAAATAGTAACTGCGCATATGTAAGCAGCTTTGTTTTCCACAAACTTGCTTGCAATGTATCCACAAACATGTCAATGGGCCTTTTTTCATGTCTGAACAGTGCCTCCATGGAGACTGCCGAAGTCGAAACTGGGGGTCCATGGCCTCCAAAGTTATCACCACGCACTGGTAAAAAAATTTTGCCGGCTCGGTGTTTTTCAGGGTGATTTGCGAACGATGCATGGTACCTCTCAATTAGCACCTGTCACCCCCTGTGCATAGAAGCTGTTTAGCCTTGTGACCTGCCAAAAACATGATGCACGTCAAATCATCAACACTTTGTATGGGCACATTAGCCTCTCAAAAAAGGTCCATTGTTATCCTATGGTTCAACCAGTGTCACGTGAAATAGTCAAACACACATACACTGCCAAGCACTTGTCACCTCCCCGCGAAGGGAAAGCAAATCACCAGGCAATGTTCTATGAGGCAAGATCAAGGTCATTGTGTACTTCAACAACACTTCTGCAGTCCCTTGGCTAGAAAGGCGAGCAACCAAGTAGGCTCCGATATCCTCGGCACAATAGCCTAACCTCAGAAATGTGACATGCTTTCTTTCCTTTTTGTCACTCCCTCCCTCCCTTTCTTTCTTTCTTTTCAGCAGCTACTTGGGGTTACATTGTGCATAGGAGATGTAGCGACTAGATTTAACCACTGGGCGAAACACTGAAGTCTGGAGGAATAATCCATACATGTTTCGGTTGCATGGCCATGTTTAGCGGCTCAAAACTACTTTTAATTGAAATTAAGCTACTACGTACTCTATAATTCACTTCACTTTTATGGGCACGAATTTCCATCAAAAATACACATTTCCCCGTAAAGGAAACTCTGAGTAGTAGTTCGGTGAAAATGTGCTCTTCATACATAATTGTAGATGTTCGTGGTTGCGAACACAGCCATCGTCGCCTCCGCCACACTCGGGCCCATGTCTTCATTCATACTACTACGCTGGGTGTGAAAGAGAGCGCAGTAAGCGCTTTTATTATACAGAGCAGCATAGTGCCGCTAGCGTTCTCCACTCTTACCAAAGCATGCACCGGAATAGATTGAGCGCTCCACCGCAGATCCGTCTAGTGGGCGCTCCGCTAGACAAGAGACAAGCCCCAACCATGAGCTGCTTCGCATCTAAAAAACCCTTGCTATGCAAGACTACAGTAAAGCAGATGTTTAAATAAATACTAGAAAATTATAGTTCTTTCTCAGCTCATATTTTGCTGCAGTTGAGCAGTAATCTTTTGAAAAATAAAGACAAAGTTCTCTCCATGCTTCTCCATGATTTCTGTAGTTTATTAACAGATTGAAGTGTATCTGCAACAAAAAAGATTGAGTATTTTGACGCACAAGATTAACAGCCACAACTAGCCTTCCTATGTTCAAATTTTGATGTAGTACTTCTAAGTGAGTACTGCACTGTTCTGAACAATGTCATGAGAGCACCCCCACGGTATTTCTGCATTTAGCAAAATTAAATATTTACCTATTAAGCCTGTAGCATTGAAGCAGTAGTACAAAGACTGGTTATTGAAGTGAGCTATCACAGAGCATGAGTGGCTCTTGACAAAAGCCTGAGTGGGTGTAGCACAGTGAATGCTGCACTAGAGTGCCACCTACCTCAAGAAAGCACTGGTACAGCTCGTCTACGGAGACACCACTGTCTGCTGTCAGCCAGTCTGTGTATAGCAGGAAATGGTGAGTTTGTTGCTGGTCAAGCAAGGAACATAAGTGCTACTCACTGAATGGAGTGAAGTTCCGCTGCTGGTACAGTTCTCGCAAAGCTTCCGTGCGACCACGATAGGTGCTCGTCGTAAACATGGCTGAAACAATTAGTCCACACTATGTTACGAAAACAGTTCATTCTCACACTTCACATTAAAAGCTGCTATGAACACATTACATATAGTTTGCACTGTATACCAATATCATTTGCTTAAAACATACAGTTACCATAGCACAGGCTCTCCAAGCAGCTCAATCTATAGTGATTGCGGCTTACGGGCCGTCAATCCATTGTCCAATGCCAAAGTCTTCTCACTAACCCTGCCGAAGCCATTAGGCCTTGCATGGTGTCAGTGAGCAGAGTTACTATGCAATGCAATGTTGGCGAGTGATTGTACACAGTTGGTGCAAAGGAATCAAGCACTGAATAAACTTCCTTGGCAATAAAAGTGATGGTGTGAAGTGGTGGCAAGATTTTCTTGAGGCTGCCATCTTGTCAACATGCACTGATGATAACAAAACATCTGACAACTTGTGTACAGAGCTCTAAGCAGTCGCAAAAATGAAACTCAATAAACAATTGTATCGGGCGAGTTGGTAAGGATCCATCTTGCTAGAAAGCGCAGCCACTATTACAAAGAACACACAACACAAGCGCTTATGTTGTGTGTTCTTTGTAATAGTGACTGCGCTTCCTAGCAAGACGCAAAAATGAGTCTTGTCCAACCGTAATCGAAAGTATCTCTGGTGAGTGCTGGTATACTGAGGTGTCGCAGACGCTTACAGCAAGCAGATACATGCTCGGTGAGGCCATCAGAGGATGAATCCGGCAGAGAGCAGGGCCACACTCAGATGAAAGCACAACGGAGCAGGTAGGTTCTGAAGACAGAACCGATGAAGTCAGGCAGTCTTGACCTCGGACGCACGGATCAGAGGCCACAGCCAAACACTCGGGCTAACGTTTGACAGCGGACCCAGTGGCTGCGGCATCCTCCCACTCGCTTCGTGGACCGTCGAAGCTTGAGGTCAAGCAAAGCAGGCCGCTCTGACTCTTGACTTCTGCCAGGCACTCGGGACAAACCGTGACGCTGGCCAGCTGCCTCCCACTCCTTTAGCTTGAATGAACCACCTTGCCCCTTGCCGACTGCCGTGGCACTCCTCGGGTCGACTCGTTGATTTCCCATTGGGGCTTTTCCGGCTGCCTTGTTCAGAAGTCATTGGCCTCTGAAATCTCTATGGTAATTACTGAATTGGGCCACTTTCGTCTCATGTTGTTGACGTAGCGCTCTCATGCCAATGTTCCTCAATCTCGTCTTTGCCCGGCTCCTGTTTGCGCACGCACTGCTTGTCTTTTCATTTTTATTGTCGCGCACCTTTTCAAAGCACTCACCTAACGTGCACACTACACTCATCACAGGCAGTTTCTTCTTTTGCATGCTGTTACACCGCTGCTATATGTCACCCTCACCAATGAGGATAACAAAAGCAAGGCTCACCCTGATGCTGAACACCACAGCCCTAGTGCTCAGACACTGCCTCTGTTGCAAAAAAAAAAAAAAAAAACAAGTAGAAAGAACTACAGTAATAACCTAAGTTCTGCAAGCTGCACTTTTTAACCTTGCTTCTCAGATTCCACCGACAACCACTCATGCCTTCACCTGCAACAGAGGCCAATAAACAAAGTAAGAAGAAGAATCTACAAGCATGGAGACTATAATGACTAAAGTTTCACCTTAGTGCCGCAGAAACAACATGCCACAATTTTTATTGCCATAGCAATGATATGGACACTCTCAGCAGGATTTCACCGCTGGGTTTGGCATCGACATCCGCGTCGTCATCTACATTGGCGTTGCCGTCACTCACCGTATAAGATATAGATACTCAACATATTTATGTATATGAAACCACAGGATAGAAACATAATCAAGAAAAAAGACTCCAGCACGTGGAATCGCACTTGGAACCTCTGAATCATGAGTGCGAGACGTTAACCACTGAGCCATGGAGGAGCGCTTCCTTGAACGTTCAAACAGCCAGCTATCTATATCTACCACTTACCGCTGCTGATGGCCATCCCAGGCGAACTATCGTGATTTCAGCATTACTAGCAAGATGGCGCAATGAGCGCGTGTTGCCACATTGTCACGACGTGGCGGCCCCGGCTCTCATCTCCAACGCGTATTTTGCACCGCGGAGAGGAAGGGGCGATGCTCACTCGCGCACCCTTATCTCGCGGTGGGAAGGATCATGCGTCTTGACTGGCTTTGGGCTTTCATTCGAATGATTCTGTTGTAGTTACCGGATGCACAAAGGTCACTGCAATCGTTGCAGTCTCCATTCGCGAAAAGGGCACGCTTTTCATACACAGCGAAGTAACAACTGAGACGCTTATTTGCATTCATCTGTACCTGTGAGTACGTTTTGTGCGTCATTTGCGCATAAGAACTATGGGGCACATTTCTATTTGCTTGCTATTCTGTGTGTGATTTTTGCATTTGTTGCTATCGCGTTCATTGCTTTGTCTTTGTGACAAAGCCATGACTTTTTTTCTCATAAGTTACTGCATAATATCCTGGTGAGCTGTGGACACTAGCTAAATAGAAAATGCAACTGCTCTTGGATTGCTATAAAAAAGAAATGCAGTCATTTCTTAATGCAGGCAGCATACAGCAGTCAGAAAATGAAGCAAGTAAATTATTTATTAACAGTTTCAGGGTTTCTCAGGTTATACAGTTTTTCTTTCACATCACTGAACCTTGTTTTACTGGTTATGTTATGCTATCCGACGGTTAAAATTATGGCATGCTCAAGTGCGAGTACAAAGAGCCTTCCTGCGGCTGTCTTCATCTAAAATGTGTTAAGTGCTGATACACAAAATCTATAATCGCCGGCTTCAGTAGTCAACGCTAGACAGAGTCGGTTGGAGATGTGTGCTTGCGATGCTTGCGACAAGCGCGGTGTGCTATCATAATCTGAATATTAAGGCTTCACCTGCATATGCCAAACTAAAGCGTAATTATACTTTAAGTGATCGCGTACAAACAACAAGTGCAAACGTGTCATTATTTATTGCCAACAGCCGTGACCGTGCGATGCACGAGCAGCAGACAACGCTCTCTCAGAGCGAGGCTTGGACCAATGGAGAGGCATGCTAAAGCAACAAGGCAGGCACAGCCATTTGGAGGCCTTGTATTTAAACATTTTCTTTTATTTGAAGATTCAGCCCTCCCGAGCTTGCAAGTCTCTAATATAGTTTACAAAAGCAATGTCGACAGTTTTACATTCTCATCAATATTCTAAAAACTGAATGGCTGTTTTGTTCTATTGACTCTTTTCTGTGCTCAGAATTTTGCATAGATTTGACAGAAAGTAACGCATGTAGCATATGCAGTGAACGTTTATAACAAATCAGTGCAGTTGACATTACAGAGGGACGGTACTGTTTTGTGTACTTTCTATCTCACCGATAGTTCATTAATTGGTTTCTTGCGGATCAGTTTATGCCTTTACGTTTCTAACCTAGGTGAATACGTACTCTTACCATACCATGATCACTGCATCGAATCCTGCCAAGTACTTTTACATCCCGTAAAATGCAAGGGTGTGCACACATAATGGAGTCTATTTCATATTTAGTTTCGTCATAACGACTTTGCCATGTCCACTTACGGTTAGGCCGTTTTCTGAAGAAGATGTTCAAGATCCGTAAATTATTACTTTCCTAATAACTCCCCTCTCACATTTCTAGAGCCGATGCCATGTTCTCTCACTGCATGGTCTCCGGCCTGTTTCTTGCCTGCTTTGGCCTTAAAGTCGCCCATCAGCATAGTATACTGCGTCTTTGCTTTATTAAGGGCTGAGTCAACGTCTTCATAGAAGAGTTCAACCATATGATCATCAAGGCTCGATGTAGGCACGTTCCCCTGTACCACTTTCATCTTGTACCTTTTGTTGAACTTAATTATGATATTTGCCACCCTCTCATTGATGCTATAGTATTCTTTGATGCCAGCAATTACCTTGTGTATAAGAAACCCCACCCCAAGTTCTCTTCTGTCATTTAATCCAGGGTAGCACAGGACGTGGCCTTTCTCCAGCACTGTATAAGCTTCATGTCTCCTCCTAACTTTGCTGAACCCTATTATATCCAATGAACACCCTCTAATTCCTCAAGTAGCACAGCTAGACTAGTCTCACTAGACAGAGTTCTAGTGTTGAACGAAGCCAAGTTCAGATTCCGATGGTGGGCTGCCCGGACCCAGAGATTCTTAGCACCCTCCGCTGCGTTGCAGGTCTGACCCCCGCCTTGGACAGTTGCTTCACAGCCGCTGGGGACTGAGAGCCAAGGGTTAATTGCTGTAATCATGGGAGGTTGAGGCAAGGTATTGCACCAGGGTGGCCAATCCTGCTCTGGTGAGGAAGTGCATTACCGGCAGCTGGTCGCCAGTGAGGCCACACCCCAGAACTCTTTTTTTTTCTTAACAATTCCTTCATCATGTGTTTTAAGGGAGCAGACTGGTCTTAGACATTTTTTTTGTTTATTTCTTCGGTAATCTTGATCAAACTGCACAGGATTATGAAGTTTTCCTGCTTATTTCAAATATTTCACTATTTTTTGTGTAGCTCATCTTGTCCCTGAGATAACTTAAGCTCACCCCCTATTCTTTAAGGCCGCCATAGACTAATGACTATAGATTAAAAGTATGCAAGAGTTTTTTTTGTTTTTATGCCTTTCTTGGTTATTTTACAGTAAAATTAACCATTCATTTTCAGAAGCAGTTGGAATTGTGGTACAATTTTGATGAGTAGTTAATTAAAAAGGCTTGTGCTCTAAATTCTGCTCCCATACTTGCATTCTACACACATACAGGTTTCCATTGCAAAAAGAATTATTGTTGTACCTGCTTTAGCTGCAGAGATATTGAGGCGTCAAAACTGAACAGTCGTAAATTTACTTTTTTTTTTTAGAAAAATGAAAAAAAATGAAAAAACACCGCTTCTTCAAAAAGCAACAATCATGGTGTGCATGTTTTGCAATCCTCATGAAGGTGTTCATGAATTCGTAGCAGAGCTTCTAACACGGGTGCTGGCAAAT